CATGATATTCACATATATGCAAAATATCCTTAGGAAAGGTATGAATCCACTTCTTTTCTCCTCAGCTATGGGTTAATTAATAAAATTTCTAAATCATTATAATCTCAAAATAAGAAATCTTACAATCTAAAAATATTTTCTGGATTTAAATAACCTGAAAAGGGTTGATAAGCCATAAAAAACAAATCACTCTATCTTCCTTAGCTTGACCACCAAGCCAATAGTGAGAATGCAGAAGAAAGAAAGAATACAAATTTTCTCACAGATGAAAAGGTGACAAGAAAGTAGAGATGTTGTTCTACAGAAGGATGCTGAGAATACCATGAATGAAATGTGAACAACGAAGACAGTTTAAGGAAAATGAGAACCAAAAAAGAGACAATTCAAACTTTTAGGATGCAAAATGAGGAGAGAGGGCTTGGAGAATTAGAGACTCTTTTCCATATTGAAGGCAGGAGGGTCCAAAGCAAACAGCTATTAAACCTACCTAATGATTTTGTGTAATGGTGTAAGAACATGTACTAGGAGGTATAATAAGGGGGAAAACATTGCTAAGATCTACAAAGAATAGGAGAGCCATGATTGCCTACATCCTGACGGGGCTCATACATAAAAGAAAAATTTTGAAATTGTATTAGTTATATTTTCTGTATGAGTCATTTAGAATTTTTATCGATAACAGTTATGATTGTCACATAATAGGGAGTGCTGAAAAGCCTGAACAACAGTAGTGTAATGGATAGCGGCTCAGATTGAGGAATCAGAGAGCCGAGTTTGAATTCCGGTCGAATCCATTATATTCACTTATGTGCTAATACCCTTAGGATAGATATGAATCCTCTTCTTCTCCCCCCAGCTATGGGTAAATAGCAGGATAGACTGAGTTCTATAACCTTGAATGACAACTGGTCTACTTCAGAAAGAAATGGCAATCTACTGTGGGGAAAAAATCTCCATCATCAGTCATGTATCGAAAGATACATGATCGCCTAAGCATGTATCACACATAAATTACATAAAATTGATTTTTTGAATTGGGTGGTTCAAGCCAAATAAAATAAAGCAACTTTATTTTTTAAATTATTTAAAATAAAATAAAATAAAATTTATAGTACTTGCTTTGAATATTACTGCCACATCTTGTCTGGTGCTCCTGCTATATATTGACAGATTTCTGATAAAATACAAAGAAGAATCTGCAATGCTATTGGTCCTAACCTGGCATCTTGCTTTCAGTCAATTTCCCACTGCCTTAACATAGCTTCCCTGTGCATCTTATGGTAATTGTTCTGATGAACTTTCCTCTTTGTTACCTAGACTTTAAAAATTTAAAGTCCTAGATTGGAGGCAAGTTTTCATAATTTTACACCTGAAATGACTAGATGTAACCATAAGTTCTATGCTAACAGTTTCTTCTATCTCACTTCTCAGTTTGTGGAACTTTCTTCTGGCTTCTTGTTTCCCCAGTCAACTTTGACCTTCAAAAATTTAAATTCAGTGTCGATCATTATTTTCTGTCTTCTTAATTCCTGACCTTTTGTTGATCTCTCTGCTTGATAGTTATTTTTTCTGCATGTTAGAGAATATGAGAAAAAAATGCCTTATTTGGGGTGAAATGATTAAAAAAAATATCCCAAGGATGTTCACATAATTAAAAAGAAATAAAAAGCAATGTACTTGCAACCTGATCTCCACTATTTACAAATGAGATATTTATTTATTAATATTGAATGATGTTCTTTAATGTTCCAAAGAAAGGAGATCTGGTTGCATGGACAATAGAAATATTATAGAATGATACTATTAAGGGTGATATTTTAAATATAGAACTGGTTCTTGTAAATGTATATTGCATGCAGCATTTCCATATTGTGCTAAAAGAGTTAGAATTATGGCAAGCTCTGATGCTTGAAGAAAAAGCCAGTGGAACTGGCCAATTTCTGGAAATAACTATCATTGAATTCCCATATTAAAAAAAGATCTCGTGTCACATTTTTGTGCACCTGCCGAGGAAGACAAATCCTGAAATAAGTAAAGTGCCTGTTGTAATATTTAGCATGTTGGTGTCCAAGGTTCTTTTGCTTGTGAATTCAATTCTTACTATTTGCTTCATTATTGTGTCTTTTTACCAAACAAAGTTTAAGCCTGAAACTGTCTCTCTATTTCCATGAACACACACACACACACACACACATATATATAGTAGTAAAATGGGATATAATAAATAAGATGAAGAAAGACAGAGGCAGAAATTGCAATCTATGTACAGAAGGGAAACGGAAAATCATCAAATTCAAGAACATAAATGGATTAATAAACAAAAGGAACAAAATTATTTCCAACCATCACCATATTAATGCATTCCTTTTGAAAAACATGAAAAAGGATTGTAGTGCTCAGGAGTTTCCAAGGATAACAAATGCCCATTTTTAAAATCACAGTGAATGAAAAATTGTATTAATGGGTAAATCAAAAAATGTTATTTTTCTGTGTGTATACATATATACATTGTATTCTTCTTTTTCACATGTTTCTCTGGGCATAAGGAACAGTGTAAATTTTGTACATTTTCTTTATTCAATTTTTGTTACATCCTTACAGTTTTAAGTACAAAAATTTAAATATCTGGTAAGTGTTTTAACAGAGGATGAAAAGTGCAACATTGAAATACAAAGGTGCATTGGGATAGTGAAAGGTGCATTTCAAAAGCTAAGCAAAGTATTAACAAACAGGAATATTTTGTTAAAATAAAAAAATTATTCTGAACTCTTACGTAATATGTAATGTCAACCAACCAATATATATATATTTATATAGATATAATTATAAATCAAGAAAAAAATCCATATTGGTTATAATTTTTTTTCATGAATATTTTTATATTCATCTCTTCAGACAGAAAGATTTTTTTAGAAAAACAAACTTTTTAAATATAACTTGTTTTTGATTTAACTTATCTTTAAAGTTAGAAATTTTATTTATTTCATTTTTATTTCTAAATGTATAATTTTTATTTCTAAATATTTTTATTCTTTAATATAACCTATTGATTTTATATTAAATATAAACTTTTTAAAATATAATTATACTTAATTTTAATATAAATTATTAAATATGACTTATTTTTAATTTATTTAATTATATTTTATTTTTAAATATAACTTGTCTTTGGAAGAGTATTTTAAGTATAATTTTGTATTTTAAACATAACTTTATCGATATAATTTATGTTTTTTAAAAAAAAACTTTTTGCTCCTCTTTTAGTTTCAAATTAACATTTCATTCTTCATATAACCCCAATTTAATGTCATAAGGTTAATATCTGGGTTTAATTTTATAAAACCTTTTTCCTTTGAGACTAATACCTTCCATCCTTCCCTGACCACTGTCTCATACCTTTCGTCTGACTGAAACTTTGAAATGGATAAATTTTATATTAGTTTTTCAACGTTCTTTTTTTTTTTTTTGTAGTTGTCACAGCTAAATTTATAATTCTGACACAAACTCAGTCTATACAGGGGTCGAATAAGACTGACAAATTTTTCATCAGTTGAAATAATCCTATTCCCCATATGAGGTAATTTTGAATTTTATTGTGTACTAATTATTTGCTCTGTAATTATAAATACATTGAGCTCTTTTTGTGGATTAGTTTTATTATTTTATATTACTAGGGTCCACTTGGATTATATACCAATAAATTTATTATCTTTATATATATATATATATATATATATATATATATATATATTATGAAAAAAGATTATGTAAATTTTTATATATTAACACTTTGAGCTCTGCGTTTCTGAACAATTTTAACCCTTCTACCTGAGCTCCTGAGTCAAAATTCGCAAATAATTGGTATGTAATGTTTCATGGTAGATATAAAAATAGTTACAAGCATTTACCCACCGTTCAACCGGTGGTTGGGCATTAAGTCATTTTTCTCTACCACTCTTCAACCAGGGCATTAGATCATTTTTGTCTACCTCCATTAAAGCGGTGGTCAGGGCTCAAAGGTTTAAGAACAATTTTAAGGAAATCTATGACAAAGTGGACACATTTCATCCTTTAAAACTTCAGCAGATTAAAGTAATGTTTACATTGATGGGACAAGACATACTCATGAAACAGAGGGGATGTTGAGAATTTCAAATTTAAATAAAAAAAAAAGATATTTTACCTAAACAGTCAACATATTTCCAGGATACTAATGACACTCTATTAATATATCCCTGAAAAACTACTTTACCTGACATTGTAGATAAATTAAACAAAGTCTAATATATTATAGAATTCATTTATAAAATGATAACAAACTATACTCTACCTTTCATAGATGTTATTTAAAATGTACTGTTAATGACTGAAAACTAAGTGCCCATAACAAATCTATTAATAAAAATGATCTCATAATCAATTTTTATAACTTGGAAATAAATTTGGGAATAATCAAAATTAATTTTGAAATCTAGTGAAAAATCACCCATGAAATAAAAATAATTGTTTGTACAGAAAGTAAGGATCTAAGTTCATCAAATTGTCTTTAAATTAAGTTGCGGCAGAAGAATTATTGTTAAACTTTTAAAAGGTAAGCTTAAATATTAATGCAATATTTAAATACAGCAATCAATTTATTTATTAGCAATCAGTTTATTGTTGCCTATTGCATCTACTCCTTCCTATCTTAAATGCTGCCCAATAAGGTAGCTTTTAAGCTAGTATTATATAATGTATAAACAATCACACTGAGTACTTATATATATTCAATATACACTTTATGCTGCTGTTGATACTTCAATTTTATAAATTTCTGATTCACTTATTCCTTTTGATGTGTGCTTTAACATTGGCTTCCAAAGTCATTGATCTGGAATTATCTTCTTGATAAAGGTTCAAGCATTTCTTTTATTTCTCTCAACTTTATTCTTTTGCATTACTGCATTGCAAAGTCCTACTGTGTTTAGGTAAAAACCACTTTACATTGATGTGGGTGGGAAATGTTTTTATATTTGTCTTCTCTCTCTTTCACTCACAAAAACTTCTTTTGGTCTTTTTTTCTTTCTTTTCTGTGCTTTCATGATATTGATACGTATCTCAATTCCAACCATTTTGTCATCAATGTAAATTGTCAAGAGACATTTCACAGCGATTTTTCTCCATGTCTTTCTTAAAAATATTTTTAATTTTCTGATTCTCCTTCTTTTTTGCCTCTTGCATTTAGATTTAAGATTGCATGGCTATTCTTATAAAGAAGAGTTCTTTAGTCATTATGGTATAAATATTGTATGTGCATCTTGATCTTAGGCAAATCTTTTTATCCATTGCTGTATCAAAATAAACCTGAGAATAGCCAATGATATCAAACGATAATATGATTTCATTCTGTAGCTTTCTCTTCAAGTGATGTAAAATCCTTGGTAAATTGATCCGCTTTTAAAAAAAGCCTTTCACTAAGAACCATTTTCCAAAAAAAAAATATATGAAAGGGTGCTGAAAAGTTCTCAACCTGAATCACTAAAATTTGACCATTTTACCAAATATCAAACTTATTTTTTATATTTCTTCTGATGAACTTCTTGGTTTGGTTAGATCATTTTAATACACTCTCATATTTAGTAATTTTTGGGTAGATTTGTTTATTATGTAATAATAAAAAAAAAAATTCCCCTCCCACACAATTTAATTACAGTATTATCATTTGAAATTTTTTTTTCTGAACAGCATCTTGGTCAGGTCAGTCCAAGAATTTGTTGGCACTCCTTCATATATAGTAATCTTTGCAAGGATCAGTTTATTACTTAACACTTGAAAACTGCACCCACCCACACACTTTATATCCAATATAAGGATATAAATACTCTAAGAAGGTGCTGTAAAGATCAACTTCACAAAATCTGACCAAACATTTTTTTTTTCAGAAGAGCTTCTTTTCATCACTCCCTCACATTATTTCTGGCCACCACTGATCATCTTAGTTTCAGGAAATAACTTTGGGGGTTGACACTAAATGAGGTGACCGCGTTGAAGTGTGAGTTGTATTCAGCTTAATTAAGGTTTGATGTTACACTGGTCAGTAAAAGATTGGGAGTAATGTGACTCAGTTGGGGGGTGACAGTTTTTGAACAACATGAGGATTTAATGCAAATGTCTACTTCTTCATCCTGCTGAGTTTTTAAAAGCCCCTGTGGGATTCTTGCAGATATTGCCAATAATTATATTTGGTATGAGTTTGAGTTTCTAAGGATTCTATAGGCAGTACATTCATGTCCTTGTAAAATTTATAATATTCTCACAGATATATTATAAAATGAGTTGAAAATTTATAATATTATGTCTACAATCTATATTATTCTTGCAGATATTGTCAATAATTATATTTGGTATGAGTTTGAGTTTGTAAGCCTTCTCCAAATACTACATTTGTACCCTTGTAAAATCTATACAAGTAGAAAATGCGTACTTTATATTGGGAACTTTGTTATTGAAGGAATGGAAAGAGATTTACAAGGGTGTGTACAGTTGGAAGATAATTCTTGAGGATTTAAAAGAAAAAAACAAGAAAGAATACGAAGTAAGAAGTCAGACAGTTATCCGCAGCTATTGTTACCAGCTATTCTTATTTGTGCAAATATAAAAAGCTTTTGAGCATAGGATTCCGAAAATGCAATTTAATGTTTGCTTTTGTTAGACTGCATATAGCAATTGGGGGCAGGGTGAGTGGGTGAAAAAGCTAATGTTCAGCTGAATGACTGAACAAGTGAACGAAAGAGGAACGAGGTGAGAGAGTGAATAAGGTTTTTATTATCGTTATGTGCTTGAGAAAAATCCATGAAATGTTTTTTTCACTTTACTGGTGAGATAAAGAATTTCATTGTTGCACATTTAAGTCTTTACCAACCCCCATCTTATTTTTATTTTTTTCAAATTAATTTTATTTATTTTTTATATAAATCGGTGTCGGAAACTATAGCTTTATGGGAGAGTATTGGATTGTCGGCAGCAAGGTTTCGTAAATGGGGTAAGATTTAAATAAAATGGATTTAATGGAAAAGGTCAATATGGGACAGAGTGCACATGCTCAGTAACTGTATATCTTGTTAGGTTGAGTCAGAAAGAATTTCTGCTTTTACTTATCAGCTTTGTTGTTCAAAAAATAAATTACAATTACATTTTAGTCAATTTTATATTCATCATCATTTGCAATGACTTGTTGCCATTTATCAGGCAGCTCTTTGATACATTTTGAGTAAGATTTTTCAGGTTTTGATATGAAAAAGTTTGCAATAAACTCTGATTTTCATTAGAGAAAGTTTTCCCTATAAAAGCATTTTGCAATAATCAAAAAAGATAATAAGCAGTTGGTAAATATTGCAGGTTGGGCAGAACAGACCAACCAAGTTTTAAAATTTATCTTCTATATGCTTTGTTTCTTCAGGATCATGGTTCTTCACAATTTCCTATCCTTTGTAGCTCTTAGTAAATTTTGTCTTTTCACTATCACTCATAATCACTGTTCTACCAACCATTTGCACAAACTCGTTATGTAGGTTATACTCTATTTTCCTCTGTCCATCTTGTCTTCAATGTGTCCTGTGAGTATCAAATTTTCTAAGCCTTCTTTCCTCATTATCTGCCCTAGAAATTCTTCTGATTTTAAGTATAAGTGTCTTTTTTGTTTTCATTTTCCTTAGAACTTCCTCATTACGTGTTCTGTCCATGATATAATTATTATCCTTTTATAGAACTATATTTCTGTTGCCTCAAGTCTGTGAGGTAATTTTCCAGTATTTGTTGCCATATAGGAGGACTGATTTTACATACTCTTTTTATTATTTTTTTATTGCATGTAGCCTTGTATTGCCATGGAAAAGAAAAGACCAAACAAGTTCCAGAATTTTTCCTGTGTTATTCTTGACCTATGCAGCCTTGTGTTATCATGGAGGGGAACATTTTTCTTTTAATCCACTGTGTACACTGCCACTGCTACATGAAATGAAGTTATGTTAGTGTACTTCAAATCTATTCTTAACTGTCACATATGATTAGTAGTTAGCATGATATATTCGTCATTAGAATTGGTTTCCAAAAATGGAAATTACTTATGACACAACCTAATCTGTCCATGTATCTCAGTCTGTACATATCTATCTATCTATCTAGCTAGCTATCTCAATCTGTTCATTTCTATCTATCTAAGGCTGTTCATCTCTATCTATCTATCTCAATCTATTCATTTCTATTTATCTCAGTCTGTACATCTCTATCTCAATATGTTCATCTCTGTCTCAGTCTGTCCATCTATATCTATCTATCTATCTATCTACTTATCTATCTCAGCTCATCTCTATCTATCTGAATCTGTTCATATATCTATCTATCTCAGTCTGTTCATCTCTATTTATCTCAGTCTGTTCATTTCTATCTATTTATTTATCTATCTATCTCAGTCTGTTCATCTCTATTTATTTATCTATCTATCTCAGTCTGTTCATATCTATCTATCTATCTATCTATCTATCTATCTATCTATCTATCTATCTCAGTTTGTTCATCTTTATATATCTATCTCAGTCTTTTCATATCTATCTATCTAATTCTGTTCATCAGTGTACTCCATTTAACTTCCACATATGATTACTTGTTAGGATTAAATATTTGTCATTACAATTGGTTCCTTAAAAATGGATATTACTCATGATACACTCTAATATGTTTAAGAATACCGTAATTAATTTTGTGTTTCTTTAATTCTAAGTGTATCTGTGTAAGTGTATTTTTAAGTGTATTTATTCTAAGTGTATTTGTAAAACCTCAAAAGAAAAATGACTCTGCAACTTAGCTGCATTGGTTTGAGAAAATTCATGAAAAAAATATGGGGTATGAAGGTTACTGATAATAACTAATTGAAAATTTTATTCTTGATAGGTAATGCCCTGTATTCTTTTGGATCTTGTTGGTGGCAGCGGCTTCTGGGCAGCACACATCCTCCATATACCATTGCCCTGGCCTGCACCTTGGAGTGTTCACTTCAGTCTCACCACCAAGGGACAAAGATGGTGCTACCATTATCTCATGAAATAAACACATACCTATTAATACTATTTTTTATGTGACATGCCCCTCCAAGGCATTGATGAAAATGACTCTCTGCAATGTGGTTTTAAATATATATTTTTCTTTTGTTATCTCCCCTAAACCTTGCTCCACCATCCATTTACTCAAACTTGCTGGGTAGATTATGAGATTATGCATTGTTTTCCTTTGTCCCTCTTGCCTTCAATCTGTCCTGTGCATATCAAATTTTCCAAGCCCCCAAAACTTAAATTCAATGTCAATCATTATCTTCTGTCTTAATTCTTGTTCTTTTTATTGTTCTCTCTCTCCTTAATAGCAGTTTTTCTTATATTCTCTAATACTCAGTAACACCTTGCATCCTAGTGGCTTTACTGCCTTGCTTGTTGTGAAATGATAAAAAAAATAACAATTAACCTTCTTTCCTAACGTGCGCTAGAAATTTAATCTATCTCTTACTGATGTTAAAGTGCCTTTTTTGTTTGTATTTCTTTTGTTGTTGCTCACATGTACAGTTCATGGTATTCTCAGCATCCTTCTATAGAACCAAATTTCTCTTTTTCATCTTCGAAGACATTATTCAGGATTCACTGCTATATTGGAGGACCATTCTTATGTAACAATTTGGTATTCTTTTCTTTGTTTCTAATGAAATTTATCTATTTCTTAATACTTTGCTTAGCTTTTGGAAGGCATCTTTTGCTATCCCAATGCACCGTCAGATTTCAGTGTTACAGTGTCCCAGATAAAGGCTAAAATCTCAGACAATTGATTTAAATGCTAAAAAGTTGGTGTTTTTTCTTAGTTATTTTGTTTATCTGTCAAAAGATGGTAACAGCTGTAAAAAAAATTGTTGTTGAAAGAATTTCAGATATTTGAATATGTGTATTCAGATAAACAAGAAAAGTTCAAATTATCCAACCAAAAACAATTTGACATTATTCAAATGGGACTAGTCCACTAATAAAAATAGGGAAAATATTTTGAGGGAATAATTTTTCTCAATCACCATTCATTAGAAAATTCCTCAAGTCACATTTGTCAGAATTACAGTCCTGTTTATATTATAAATACAGTGTCAAAACAATCCCTGACCCTTTTCTTTATCATTTCATCACAAGGAAGGTGATAACACCACTAAGATGCAAGGAGCTACTGGGAGTGAAAGAGAATGAGAAGAGTTAGAAGGAACAGGAAACCTAATCTTAATCAGAAATAGGAAAACAAGGGATAGTCTCTACATCTGTTCAAAAGATGGGGAAGGAGTGTGAACTTTTAGTAGATAGATAAACCTATCTATTAAAAAAATAAAAAATGTCAGTAAGAGATTAAATTAAAAAAAATTAGTAAATAAAATTTCAGTGATTAGGCAGAGACATGAGCAGTATGAACTAAGAGCACATGCAAAAATGGACACTTTATGAAAATATTTCTTTTAAATAGAGAACAAATGGAGATATATATATATATATATATATATATATATATTTTAGTGGACTCGGCAATTTTCATTCTGCTTGTCTGAATCCTCTTCAAGAAGCAAGAGCAAGATCTAAAAGGTCAGCCAATATAACAGTGATCTCATCTCACAATCCTCACACTTGCCCCATATGTGGCCTCCTTTGTAAATCATTAGCAGGTTTTAAATGTCACTTAAGATTATCACACAAAATTTCATAACTGAATCAAGTAAGCTGTTAGATCCTCATACGTCGAAACCGATGGGAGAGTCCATTATATATATATATATATATATATATATATATATATATATATACATACATATTAAAGTCAAAACTCAAAGGCGACAGGCTATTTCATGCTAAACGACAATTGTCAGGCCACTTTATATATATATATATATATATATATATATATATATATATAAAAAACATTTTATGTTAAACATTCTTTTTATCGATACAAATATTTAAGTAAATGCTCTGTTTATAATAAACAGTATTAAATAACATTTACCGCCTGAATGCTAAATGAAATTTTCATAGAAAATATTCATCCTTCAACAGGATTCGAACCTGTATCCTATAATTAACCATCATATAGCCTGACATCCCTTAATTATTATATACAAAGGATCGTTTGGTTTTACTAATTATAAACTTCAATTTTCCATGAATCTCTCACGTACATTCATAACTGCTCATGGCCTATCAAATGTAAGCAAATGACGTCACGCATTATGAAAGGAATAAAGGTGGTATATATATATATATATATATATATATATATATATATATATATATATGATGAACTCTCCCACTGATTCATGTATGAGGATCAGACAACCTCATTCAGGTTTTATGTTTGTGTTGTATGTGGCACTTTAGTCCCACTAATGACCTGCATACAAATCTATATCTTGTGCAACAGTGTGGATATTGGGACATAGCAACAGGAATATTTGCTGTCACTTTTCACTGTTGCTTTTCATTAGCCAGTGAACATGATTGATTTCAAAATTTCTGATACCACTCTGGCACAAATATCTCCAGTTATTTCTATCCAGGGCAACTCACTCAAAGTTAGTATGAGGCACATTGACAGCTGAGAGGTTACTCTTTATCTTGTCTTTATACCTGAGTCATGACCATCCAATACTCCTTTGTCCACTGTGAAGCTGGCTATACATGAGGACCTTAGTTATTCTGTCATCACTCATCCTTGCAACATGACAAGCCCAGTGAAGTTGTGACTGCATCAGGAAAATCTCCATTCCATCAATGTTGCATTTTCTGAGTAGATCATCACTGCACACTCTATTGTTAAAAGTATAGCCACAGATAGTGCAAAGACAAATTTTGTAAAAGGCATCCAACTGATTGATATGGGTACCTATATGGGGTTCACGATTCTGAGCCACACAACAGTGTGGTCAAAATGGCTGCTCTATAAACACAGATTTTGGTGTCTAATTTGATACTTCTCTCATTCCATAGGTGGTAGCGTAGCTTCCTAAGTATATATATATATATATATATATATATATATATATATATATATATAAAATTAAAAAACTAAAATTTATTTAAATTAATAAAAGTATATATATGCATTTATTCTTTGTTTAAAATAAATAATTATTATCTCTCACTGCCTGCGCATGTGCTTCTGAAAAAAATCTCCCTCAAAAAAATGTTGGGAAAAAGTAAAAATATTCAGAAAATTAAAAAATATATGCAGATAGCAATGACATCAGTATAGTTTCAATCTTGACATTTCTAAATCACAAAGTCCAAATAACTCCATAAAAAGTGAGGGATCGATTTGTATTTATATATTGAATAGGACACTCTTTCCCCAATTGTTGTGGGTGGGGAAAAGGTCTAAGAATGCTAATCTACAAATATTATTAACTAAAAAAATTTCCCTATATTTTTTTATGAGCAGACTCCATTATTTAAATAGTGCCAATAATTCTAATCTTCATGGAGAATATGTTTAAATTTTGTCACCATTTGAGAAATACTCATCAATTCTAGGTAACAGGAATTTAAAAAAAAAAAAAACATATAAATTTGTAAAAATGTAATTAGCCTTCTTTTTTATTTAAACTTTCCACCCCAAGCAAGGTGGGAGTGCCACTAGCACACAAGATCTTACAGACAAGAATAAAGAGGTGTGATAGAGGAAAGGATGAAGAGAAGGATGGGGAATAGATCAAGGCTTCTGAAGATGTCAACTGACATTGCATTTGAATACTTGGAGATTATAGCTATCAGAGAAGCAAGTAAGAGGAAGGGAGTTCAACAGATGGGAAGTGTGAGACATGAAGTTATTGGAGTAGAAGAGACGGCTATATTTAACCGTTTTGAAAGTGACAGGGTGGGACTGAGATGTCAAACTAGTAATACATTTAAATTTATGCAGTTTGGGAACTAGCGAAAGTAGCTCATCAGAAAAAAAGTTGAAAACAATCTTTATAATCCTGAGTGTAAAACCTGAAGAACAAAAATAACTTTGATCTATCAGCATAAAACATACGAGGATTTTAAATACTCCCAAGAGCTTGCTTCCACAATCACTACAATCTTAATGTCTTCAAGTCTAGGGTCAACTATTATCTATCCTTCATGACCTCATAATCTGCACTTACACCCATTCAACAACCCTTATTCACTAATTCTCTACATTATGTAGCCTTGAACATTTAGTAAAAAATAAAAATTTTAAATCTTTAAAAGTTTGAATGTGAAATTCTATAAAAGAATTTTTTTTTTTTAAATTTTTAGTTTCTTTATACAAGAAAATGTAAATTCCTGAGTCCTACTATATGCGTTACCAATCACGCTTGTAGTCACTTTAGAGCTGTATGTTTGTACTCAGAAAACTTCTTTTTTTTTTTCTTTTTTTTTTGAGACATGTTACTTAATGAACTGAAATATCAGTGAAACAGAAAAAAAATCTTAATCAGTTTCTCTGCTTCCACTTATTAAACATAATTTAATATTTTTACATTGGGGATCCTTCTTAATTATTTATTGAATTAAGTCATTAAGCCTCT